AGAGAGAGAGAGAGACCTAGAGAGGCTGGCAACTGATTGAATACCAACCTCCAATTCCTCTTCTTCCATCTATTCCTCCCCTTCCTCCAAGTCATCCCAATACTTACTCCTATCAACAAGTTCCTCTTGCAATCAAAGGAAAATGCATAATGAGACAATAATGATATCACCATCATTAAGAAAACTAAGAAAGTCATAGTAACATGGAAAGTCATTTTCCAACAAAGGAAGATTTAATTGCCCGCGCATGAAGTTTATTATAATAACACAAAGGATTTATTCTATTAATTCAATAAACTAAGTGAAAATGGATAGGGAAAGCTTTCTCTGTGACCCAAACAACATAGAAGTTATACGTGACCCCATTGTTTAGCTGTTTGGTTCAAAATTGATGGCTACGATTGCTTATGCCACAACGTCACGCCAAAAGCTGTTTTATTTTTCATTTTTTATACCAAATATTTTTGGATGAAATTTTGAGCATCCCATCATAAACTAGGGCGAACCTAAATAAAATAAAAATCAAATATTCCGTCACCAGAAATATTATGGTAACTTTTCATCATCGAAAATATTTTATTATTATTTTTATCACGTGCGCCCCTATCAGATCTATGTATGCCCCAAATTTTTCTTCGAAATAATATAAAACTATGAGTTGTCTGATCAAGATCTGAAGGTTAAGAGCCAACTTGTGACATTGTGGCTCAAGGCATCTACTCAAATCTGACGGCTGAGATTAGGGGTCACATATATTATATATGTGGATGGGGTTACATAGAAAGCTATCTCAAATGCACATCTCCATACCTCATAATTAGGTTGTTCTTGTTGTTGGACACCAAAAACGTCACTAGAGTGGGCGTTCGAACTACAGAATAAAAATTTCACAGAAGGGGTCACAAAAGAATAAGCAATCGCACAAAAGAAGAATCCATACAATGTATTATAAACACTATGACAGCATGAATGCAAGAATCATAGGCAGCTTACTTCATCAACATAAATCTTACCCCAACCTCTAGGATGATAACCAAAGCTAGCACCAGGTGGAATAGGAGCATTCAAGCTAAGAAATCCAACTGAAAAACTATATCATGCATTTCAGCTACATTGCCCAAGAAATCCATTTCACATGACTACACATTACAACATGAGATCAGATTTTTTAGGACACGAACGTCCATTAATGAAGAGAAAATGGAAAATTTTAGGTACCATATACAGATTACATTTTTTTTGCAAGTTAGCAAATGTGTATTTCACAATATAAAAGACTTTCAAAATGAGTACCATAGCAAATGGCCAAATGCCCAGAGGCCAAAATCATGAGAGAGAGAGTCTTCACCATGACATCCACAATTATTTTTAACAAAATAGAATTAAAAAAAAAGAAATATGCAGCTCTACTAATTTAACAATGCTTAACAACATAAAATATCACACTTACCATTAGCGGATGCTTTCACTGGACCAGTGCCTGGAGTACACTCCAACTAGCACATCTCTAAATAATTCTTCATTCCTAAATCCTTTTGCCTTTTCACTCCCCTGAAAATTGCCGAAAAAGGGTCCTGAATAGGACATTGCAGATACACCATAAGGACTTTGATTAAGGTTGCAGAAAAGAAAGAGACAAAATATGAACATGACATGATTCTAGCATACATTGCTCATGAAGAATATCATTTTCAAATAAAAATAATTCGAAAGTCAAGAAAACAACACAAATGTTGTGGTATATCAAAATGTAGCGAACGAAAAATACTCTTCATAAGGAGGTATATGAAGTTGAACAGCTAACAAAGTAGCTACAAGAGTCTTGATAGTATAGATACTTACAACGGAATCAAGGATAACTTGAGTGTCAAATATATCTAGGAAAAGCTGTTTTGAAAAAAAATATATACATATTTTCGAAATTATTAGCCACATAGATAATCACTGCATAGATTCTGGCCTCCATCCACCGATAGAGGAAATACATAAACTAATTATTGTAATGCTTGTCTAATAGAAATGAGGGCATCAAAATATTCATGGAGTTCGAGTCATTTTGCTAACTGATAAAATGCATCTTTTTACTTCCAAACTATGTTAAAAGGCTTTGCTCTGCTTCTTTTTTTCCGTGATTATTTCCAGAAGTAAAATCAATATTTCTTTACAAAACCTAAGATATACTTCCAGAAATTAATATTATTTCAAAATCCTTTCCCATTTTCATGAACAACAGACAAATGATAAAGTCAACTGTTGATATTATGCAAGATCCACAAGGAAAGCAAAGACTTCTTTTTTTTGTTTATTTACTCTTTTGGATTACTTATAACAAGTGTAAAACCAGAACTCTTGTACAGTTAATTAACTAAGAACTCTTGGTTTATGTGTGTGTGATGTAAACGTTTTGTTTTCTTTCGTGGTTTGCTTTGTTTACCGTTTTTCTAAGGCGTTGAGCGCACTCCCACCTGAGTGGCATTCACTTACCCTAGATCACGGTCCCACATTCTTTTCCTCTCTTGAAAATGAGGTCAATTCTATCTCCCTGACTAGAGGCAAAGTGGTCAATTCCTCAAGAAAAACTTCTGGGTACTCTCTTACTACAAGTATCTCTTCTAATTTGGACTGGACGTCCCGATTCTCTACTATATAAGCTAAGTATCCAACGCATCTTTTGGTCAGAAGACAGGAAGCCCGAAGGGCAGAAATTAAGCATAGAGGGGGAGCGTCTCTGATACCCACAAGTGCAGTTCAGGCTAGTTAGGGCATTTAAAGGTCATAGTCTTATCATAACAGTTAACAGTAGCACAGTGTGTGGACAACCAATCCATGCCCAGAATAACATCAAAATCCTGAATATCTAAACGTATTAGGTTTATGGGCAAGTCACACTTCTCAAGTAAAACTTCACACTATTTGTATACCCTATCAGTTTCCATAGAATCCCCCATAGGTGTGCACACTACTAAAGTATATTCAAGACATGAAGGTTCAATATTTAGATGACATGCAGAATGAGGTGCGTCAAAAGAGTGAGAGGAACCAGGGTTAATCAAGGATTTAGCTTCCTACCAGAAACAAAGAGTGTACCTCTGATCACCGAGGTAGACGCCTTGGCCTCTTGCTTCGTAAGTGCAAATACCTGACCTTGAGTCTTCGGTCGGCTCTCCGGCTTTACCATGGGGCAGTCCTTGATCTAGTGGTCAGGCTTTCCACACCTAAGACATGTTTTTTGTTTCTTAAAGCACTCTGCCGCAAAGTGGTTGCCCCCTCCACAATATGAGCAGGCCGAGCACCGATTCTCCCTCACATCGCTCGAAAAGGTCTTTTGAGCTTTCATGTTCCCCTGACTAGGCCTTCCCCTGACATCTCTCCTCGGAGGCAGCCGAGTCTTCCTCCCAAAATTCCTGGACGATGCGGACCTTACTCTCCCTTCTTTCCTCAACTGAAATTCCTCGCAATCTTTTTCAATCTTCATAGCGAGGTCTACTTAAGGTTGGCTGATATTACTCTTCCTCTGATATCTGGCCGGAGGCCCTTTCAAACTTGCTTGCCTTGTGCGCCTCTGTATTGATGATGTGAGGCGCGTATCGAGAGAGTTCTGCGAACTTGGCTGCATATTGTTCTACTGTCAGCCTCCCTTATTGCAGCTCAATAAATTCAACTTCTTTCCTCTCCCGGACAGAATCGGGAAAATGTTATTTTTCAAATGCCACTAGTAAATTCTCCCAGGTGGCCTCAGTCCCTGTCTCCATCCAGGACTGTTTTACCGAACTCCACCAATGTTCGGCCTCCCCTTCCAACATAAAGGTTCCCAATTTGACCTTCTGCTCATCTGAGCAGTGCAAATGACCTCTCTTCTCTCTCTATCTCTCTCTTTGTTATTTAGGAGTTTAGGTTGTCATTTGGGTTCCTCTGGATTAGAGAAACAATAAGAAGTCTTAATATTTAGTATTTTAGTGATATAGTAAAGAACAAAGAGAGAAACCAATGAGCCAAAGCTGCTGCCTGTGTGCCTGGGGAAGGCCCAATTAAGAGAGGGAAAGTCAAAGTTCTAGCCTAAACAGAAAAATAACCCCTCATGCTCAAAGTGGCAGCAGGTGTGGGGAGTTTCCTCCTCTCTCAAATCCTCAAGATCACCAAATATGCCATAGCCGGCAAGCTAAGGATGCAATCGCATTATTAATGAATGACCACACAATCACACTTTCTCAATCTCATGCCATCACGCAATATCATATCATGGAATGCCATGTTATCAGCATACATACATCATGGCTATATCAGAGAGGCATTCTCTCTCTTCGACGCCATGCTCATCGGAGATGCATACTCATGGACCATGATAATCAAAGACTTGGAAAAACACATATTACGATAATATAAAATCTGAATATATGAGACGCAAGGCAATGACTTTATTCAAAATTTTAAATATTATAATATTTATATTCTGTTTTATCAACCAAACCCGAAATAATTGTGAATATATCAAATTAACATGCAAACATACATGGAGGAAGGCATGATTCCAACTCCTTGTGCCCGGGTCACGAACGGGCCTTTTGAGGACTTAATTTTATCCCAATGTCTAAAGCCCAGGTGATAATAATAACTCAAGGAGATCAATCCAATATGAAGCAAATAATCACTTTTATTTCACTTAATGGGGATCAAATCATGAGAGAGACATATATCAAAATAGTCTTCGAAAGGTTGAGAGAGATACTACACAAAATAAGGAACGAACTTTTCATTATACAAAAAGAGGGTCAAGATATTATCTCATATGCTCAAATATAATAACATAAACCTTTGATCGAATGTATATTCTCAATAAAAATTCCAAAAAATTTGGATCAAGAAACTCAAAGTGAAACTATTCAAAACTATGGAGTAAACAAGTTAATCTACACATGCTACGTGCGAGGACTATACTATTGCTTGGAGACTCTACAAAAACCAAGTATTCATAACGAAAAGAGGCAAAGAGCTACCGTAAATTAAAAATTACTGCAACCTTTGATAATGGAAATGAGGTAAGAATTGAAATATAAGAAGAAAAATTAATACCTTAGTGAAGCAATAGGATGGGCTTGATCACACACATGAGGGACTAGTCCATGGAAGCCACGCTTTTGTCAAGGGGGCTATGACTCTCTCTTTTTGAAGAGAATACTCAAGTTAGGGTTCTGAAATGATTCCAAAAGTTACTTTTGTACTTAGATCATAAAGATGGATTTGATCTTGAGCCTTGATGCCTTGGATGAGCTTTTGACACCTTTCACTCCTTAAAAGCTAGGTTATAGCCATTTTACCTCAAAACCCTTAGCTCCACATTTTATTTCCCATTAAATCTAAATTCATGTTTACACTTATGCCCATGATTTTTAAATAATGTGTGAGAGTCAATAAAAGATAAGGAAATGAACATAAAGATAATATGAGACATCCACACATGTGAATAAAATATCTTATGACACCACTAATGGATTTCAACAACACTAAAGTTTCACATGGGTCAAGCCCATAAGGTGGTGTCACATATAGTATACCCACATGTCACAAAATCATATGTGTATAATAATATAAATTAAATTAATTATCAAAATCCCATGACTTCACACATGACAAAAAATGGCACATGTGAGCAAAAAAAGACGTGACTTAAATCAAACTTAAGCCATAACAATATATAACACTTTAAATAAATGAATAATATGTTATAACACAATACCACCAAAAGAAGTAATGACAAATAGGTCTCCATGAGGATATGACATCAGCATGAAATTAGAAGCGCTATGGAGAAATTTGTACAATTGACAAATCTCAATATTTGTTAGATTTCCAAAAAGAACCAAGATAGCCATTTATAATTGTAGGTGCTTTTGCAGCTCTGAAAATATACACTTTGATATTTTATCTAGAATTAGTGGTTAATAAGAAAGATTAGTGAAGATAGCCGGTTGAAATAAGATAAAAACATGGCCCACACATGAGAGTACCAATAAGAAAGACAACAATCCGAAAGGGAACTACCACTGCTATAATTACACCATTCGAACCCCAAAACAAAGATAAAAAATTTCCATAATAAGCCCACCTAAACCCTAAAAAAACCCATAAATGTGATACTCTTAAAACTTTCTATTGACGTAAAGCACAACAACAAAATATAACAAATGAAAAAACCCATTAACCAAGTCAGCCAACTCATGGATATTGTGATTTCATTTGCAGAGTGTCAATGTTGGCATTGCATAATTCTTTTCAAGAGATTGCAATTAAAATGAATGAATCAAAGTGATTGTGAGTTGACATAAGAATCGAATTGATTGCAACATCAAAGTCAACAGGATTTACAAGAGCAACTTGGGATTCCTATTGCAATCAGGATCGAGTTTCTCTCTCTAATTCATTGTGGATTAGGGTTTTTTGAATTGCAAAACCCTAATCCACCATAAATCTAATTTTCTCCAGATTAATACACGACCATTAGACCTACCTAATTAGGATGGCCAAATGTCTGTGGTTGTAGAGCTTCAGACCGCAACTTTGTGGAGAGAAAGAGCTCTGGGCAGAGAGAGAGAGAGAGAGTGAGAGAGAAAAGTAGAAATGACAGAAAGAAAGGTCAAACGGGGTTTTGGGGCATTCTCGAGCACTATCCAGTACTATGAACATTGGACAACATAAGCTAGTTGTCTGGTAATACAAACGCCAGACAGAGCTAGTGCTTTGTGGAAAGACTGGGCCCTCCTGTCCGGCATTGTCATTGCCAGATAAGAGCTCCCAAAGGGTGTCCATACATAAATCGCTCAAAAATTTAAATAATAAAAATTGTCAAAAATTAGTTGTAGGTCTATTTTGATCATTTTCACTATTTGAATTATTTTCATAGTGTTCTTAGGCTGCATCTATCTAAGCGCACACGCCCTCCAACGTTCAGGTGGATTTGATAAGTAAAAAAAAATTAAAAGTCTCGAAATTTGAAAATTTGGAGTAGGCACAATTATATTTAATGCCCACCACTAGTTTTATAGAAAGGAAAAGACACATGTATTTTAAAATATTGGAAAATAGGTTTCTAAAGTTACCATTCAGGAACAGGATGTGCGTGTGTGTGTGTATATATAATGATACATATAGGAATCTTCATAGCCCAAAACAATGCAGCCAAACTCATATCTCAGAGTCAGATGAAAGACCAAGCTAGAATGAACGAGTAGAAATACACGCCAAACCACTCACCCACACAGTGAAACCTTCATTGTCCACGCACCCACATGCCAATCAACTGGATTGCTCTCTTTCAGAGATTGACCAATTGCAAAGAGAGGCTTGGATTTACCTAATTGATGTATCATGTGTCGTGAAGCCGAGGAAACTAACCCTCACCTCTTTATATATTGTCCCATGGCCCATTCCTTGTGGGGAGCTTCTCTTCAGCTCTTCAAATGGCAATGGATGACCCCAAAAAATATTCCCAATCTCTTTTCCTCTCTCCACCTCTACCCCTGAGCCTCTTCAGGTATCATATTGTGGAAGGCTTCAATGGCAGCCCTCGTTCGATAGAACGTAACAATCATATCTTCTGAGGACAGTTCTCTACTATTGAATCCTTGTTTGATATAATCAAAGCAGCAGTTATCTTCAAGGCTACTAATCACAAGAGGTTCAAAGGCTTCCCCCCTTCAGGCTTCCACCAGCACTGGTACAATCTCCTTTTCTTACCACCACGTGAGTAACTCACGAGCCTTATTGTGGCTTCCTCCAGAGTTGGAATGCGTAAAGCTCAACTTTGATGGTTGTTCCATAGGCAACCCAAGGCTATCAAGTATAGGTCGTTTTAGAGACCACAAAGGGTCCACTTTGACCTTTTTCACGAAGTCCATTGGTCAAATTTCCAATCGGCAGAAGCTAGATCATTTCTTGCGGGCCTCAAACAATTTGACAACTCTTGGGCCCAAGCTCTCACCATAGCAGGGGACTCTCACAACGTTATTTTCTGGGCCACTGGTTCGACTAACTGCCAATGGTGATCCAAGCAAGCAGTACCTCACTCCATGACCAGGCTTGAAAGTTCTCAAGCAACCATGCAGTCAACTCCACTATCACTAACTACCCTCCTCTTTACTCTTGACCAAAGCCCCTTCGTCCAATTTCCTAAATCAAAAGATATTTTGTTCCCCTCATAAATTAGAGTTCGAGATAGAAATATGATTTACATGCTATAAGACAATATTATGGAATTTGCATTACCAGGGTTTAATTAACTTGGAATCAATCTGGGCATGTATGTCACAAACCATATTGAGATTGCCCATTAGAAATATCGAGTCACATCATAGAACATAAAACTGGAATGATTTGATAGTAGCTTGAAGAATAGTGAGGCTGTTTAGGGTCTTCTACTACATAGTTGCACCTCTCCCAAAAGGTTTGCTAGTTTGAAGAGCGGACCTCAATTCAGGTACAAGTTCAGTAAAATAGAGCTCCAAACAAAAGTGAATTTTACAAATAATGCACGAGATAACTAAATTTGAAGAAACTACAATCCCTACAAAAGGGCATCTTAGACAAAAAAGAGACGATATCTTATCCTGTTCAACCTGCATGAATGCTGGAACAATTTGGACCTAATTACTGTGTTCCTTTGTTTTGGGGAGCTAGCCGAATTTTCATGTCATGTGAGTTTTATTTGATGCTAGTACAAAGGCTGCTAAGTGCTAACAATGATTTGGAAAGTGATTCAAGAGAAGATTCATCTTAAACTGAGATTAAGTATACATAAAACAACAATTCACATGAAGTGACATGTTAATTTTTATTAGTGAAGTGACGGACCCCATTCCCATATGCATTTGGTTGAATGTTGAAACACGCCTCAACAGATATTCCTATGTGATGAATCACACAGATGAGACATGAGATGGAAGACAAATTCAAAAGCTATAAAAAGAAATATAAATAATAAAAATTGTAAAATCTCCCCAACCACAACCTAGCCTTTCCTCCCACCTAACCTGCAGCATTCCCCAACCTTACCATCCACAACCTAGCCTTTTGGTTCACTACCCTTGAAGCCTCACTGTCCCTTCCTCTTCCAACAACTTCCACCACCAAAAAGAAAAAAGCATCTTTCTATTCCCACAGATCGTCCGTCCACCTATTTTAAACCAATGTCAAATCATGGTGATCCAAGAAAGCAGTACCTCACTCCATGACCACGCTCGAAAATTCTCAAGCAACCATGCAGTCAACTAAACTATCACTACCTACCCTCCTCTTTACACTAGACCACATCCCTTTCATCCCATTTACTAATCCCATTTACTAAACCAGAAGACATTATGTTCCCCACGTAAATTAGAGTTCGGGATAGAAATATGATTAACATGCTATAAGACAATATTATGGAATTTGCATTACCAGGGTTTAATTAACTTGAAATCAATCTAGTCATGCATGTCACAATCCGTATTGAGATTGCCCATTAGAAACATTGAGTCACATCATAGAACATAAAACTGGAATGGTTTGATAATAGCTTGAAGAATAGTGAGGTTGTTTAGGGTCTTCCACTGCATAGTTGCACCTTTCCCAAAACATTTGCTAGTTTGAAGAGCAAACCTCAATTCAGGTACAAGTTCGATAAAATTGAGCTCCAAACATAAATGAATTTTACAAATAATGCACGAGATAACTAAATTTGAAGAAACTACAATCCCTACAAAAGGGCATCTTAGACAAAAATGAGACGCAATATATTGTCCAGTTCAACCTGCATGAATGCTGGAACAATTCGGACGTAATTACTGTGCTCTTTTGTTTTGGGAGCTAGCAGAATTGTCATGTCATGTGAGTATTATTTGATGCAAGTACAAAGGTTGTAAGTGCTAACAATGATTTGGAAGGTGACTCAAGAGAAAATTCATCTTAAACTGAGATTAAGTTCACGTAAAAAAACAATTCACATGAAGTGACATGTTCAATCTTATTAGTGAAGTGAGGGAACCAATTCCCATATGCATTTGGTTGAATGTTGAAACCGACCTCAACAAATATTCCTATGTGATAAAGCACACGGATAAGACATAAGATGGAAGACAAATTCAAAAGCTATAAAAAGAAATATAAATAATAAAAATTGCCAAAATCTCCCCAACCACAACCTAGCCTTTCCTTTGACCCAACCTGCAGCATTCCCCAACGTTACCATCCACAACCTAGCCTTTTGGTTCACTAGCCTTGCAAGCTTATTGTCCCTTCCGCTTTCACCAACTTCCACCACCAAAATGAAAAAAGCATCTTTCCATTCCCACAAATCATCCGTCCACCTATTTTAGACTTCCCCGAATGAAAGTCAAATCATGGTGATCCAAGCAAGCAGTACCTCACTCCCTAACTAGGCTTGAAAGTTTTCAAGCGACCAAGGAGTCAACTCAACTATAACTACCTACCCTCCTCTTTACACTTGAACAAAGCCCCTTCATCCCATTTCCTAAATCTAAAGGCATTATGTTCCCCATGTAAATTAGAGTTCGAGATAGAAATATGATTAACATGCTATAAGACAATATTATGGAATTTGCATTAGCAGGATTTAATTAATTTGAAATCAATCTGGTCATGTATGTCACAATCCATATTGAGATTGCCCATTAGAAACATTGAGTCACATCATAGAACATAAAACTGGAATGGTTTGATAGTAGCTTGAAGAATAGTGAGGCTGTTAGGGTCTTCCACTGCATAGTTGCACCTCTCCCAAAAAGTATGCTAGTTTGAAGAGCAGACCTCAATATAGGTACAAGTTTAAGAGCTCTAAACATAAATGAATTTCAAAAATAATGCACGAGATAACTAAATTTGAAGAAACTACAATCCCTACAAAAGGGCATCTTAGACAAAAATGAGACAATATCTTGTCCAGTTCAACCTGCATGAATTCTGGAATAGTTTGGACCTAATTACTGTGTTCCTTTGTTTTGGGGAGCTAGCAGAATTTTCATGTCATGTGAGTTTTATTTGATGCAAGTACAAATGCTGCTAAGTGTTTATTTGGAAGGTGACTCAAGAAAAAATTAATCTTAAACTGAGATTTCGTTTATGCAAAACAACAATTCACATGAAGTGACATGTTAATTCTTATTAGTGAAGTGGGGGACCCAATTCAAATATGCATTTGGTTGAATGTGGAAATGCTCCTCAACAAATATTCCTATGTGATGAATCACACAGATGAGATATAAGATGGAAGACAAATTCAAAAGCTATAAAAAGAAATATAAATAATAAAAATTGTCAAAAGTAAATAAGAAAAATTAACATAAAAATCAAATACATGCATCCCATACATGAATATGGTTGTTCAAATTCTAGACCTATGTCAAAACTTACGGGGGCAAACATTTCAAACCATAGGTGTCCATGTCTGAAATTTCAAGATGTGGACACGAAAATGCCTTCATGTTTGACACCAAAAAATGACACATGCTTGGTGAGGCTCATCAGATTGTCTACTGGTATGTCGAAAGCAACATATTAATCGGATATAGTGGTAGAGCCACGCACCACGACATGTCTAAAACAGAATGCCTCTAGATCCAATGATCGAATGGGCCGAATGAAAATTCAATATTTATCAAGATAGATTTGGGAGGAGGAAATAAGAATTCCAACTAAAATAAAGCTATTATGCATCTTACCAATTGCTCATCAGTTTATGAATAAATCTAACATGCAGGTCATAAATGACCAAAACAA